GTGTTTTTTAATTTTTTTGTTATGTTTTTTTATGTACGTATGTTTTATTATTTTTTCTTGAGAATTCATATCCTTTTTCTTTGCCATTTCGTATCTTGTTGGATTCCGATATTTCTTATTGTATCAGTTTTTTGACGTCCCTTGGTTATCTTTTTCCAACTCTTTTTTTTTCTTTATTCCATTTCCATATGTCCCCGTCAATATTTAATTTTTGATAGCCAACTCGGATGTTCTTACCTTTAAGTTTTTCTAATTTTCCAATTTTCCGTATTTCCTGTTGTATCTTCATCTCTTCGTGCGTTAGATCATTATTAATGTATATTTCTGGTTTCGTTGATCTTAGTTTGTTTTTATTCCGCATAATTTTTATTTTTTCATTTCTGTCTTTTGTTTTTATAAGACATGTTTTTTCACCTAGTTTGTAAGCTTCTTTAATTTTTACTTGTATGCCCAATTCTTTTTCCATAAAATTAGTCATGGTCTTGTTAAGTTCATTTGGATCATTTTTATTCATCGACAGTCCTTGGACTATAACATTCTTAGCTTTTCTTTCTTTCTCGAGCTGTTCTATCTTCATCTTTACTATATTTAGTTCCTGTTTAATTTCTTTATTTTCTTTCTTTAGCTGTTGGTTACTTTGTTTGAATCCATTTATTTCTTCTTTCAATTCACGGATTTCATTTTTGTATTCTCGTTGTTCTTCTTTTATTCCTCTTACCTCTTAGGTTGGGTATTTTGTTTGTTCTGTTAAATTTTGCATCATTTTTAAGAGCTGATCAATTTTGGTCTCATCTTTTTGTTGTTTGGGAGGGGTTCTGGTGATTTTCTTGCTCTTGTTGAAAATATCTCCTTCATCTTCCTTTCGACTTCTCTTTTTGCTGTCCTCCGAAGTATAATCATCGTCGCTATCCATTTTTTCTTCTTTAAATGGTTTTTCTTCTACTTTCCTATTTATATCGTATTTACTCTATTATAGCAAGCGATAAGCTCTAGTTCTCCAGTCGACCTGTCGGAAGCTCTAGAACTTCTCATGCAATAACTGAGTATAAGTTTAGAGAGTTGAAAAAATAAATCAAAAACAAAAATTATCTTAGTTCTGGAACCATAACAGGGACAAGAAACTACATCTTACGCTGCGATAGGATTGACTATTTAAGGTTGAAGTCGGCATTGAACACAAAACTTGGATCTCTGCCTTTCAAAAGGACTGGAGTAATGTGGGCATATTTCAAATTTGTTGTTAACGACACAAATCTCTTAGGTACTTTTTCAACCTCCTTTGTAACTACACATACTGCACAATTAACTGCTACTACACACTAGATTTCCATGAAAAGGGACTAAACACAATAAACATTTCAAATTTGATGAATAAATTTGGATCCACACTGAAGGCGACTGCCTGTGACAGCGACCCAAGTGAGAATGTCGCAATCATCTTGCCGGCAAAAACTTGGCATAAACACACTTACAACGAGAACGGGAACGCAAAATATTCTATTTCTTTGACGTACAAGAATTCCAAGGCGACTTTGAATAAAACATTAAAAGAGATGGTGAGGAAGTACACATTTGTTACACAAATATAAACAAACTATAAAACGGTTTACAAGAATATACAGCAATGCAAATAAAGTGATTGAAAGCACTTTTGGGTATTTTAATTTTTACTATATAAACAGAGAAACATGGAATTCTTGGTAATTTTAATTCATATATGAGGGGATTTCAGATATTCAAGATTGGGAATGCATTTCAGTAAGAATTCGGAAGATCAGACTGGTAACTGCGAAACACAAACTAGTCAATATCATCATTATGTATGAAATAAATGATGACGAAAGAGCTGCTAGCAAAGACCTATTCTGGGATAAGGCCTCAGAAATACTAGACAGTTTAGAAGGCAATGCTATAGTACTAGGGGATCTAAATGGTCGAGTGGGTTTAAGAAATGAACATACCCAATATGTATTAGGACCATATGGAGAAGAAATAAAAAATGACAATAGGAAACGTATTATTGATATATGCAGAGAAAATAATTTAATAATAATGAACACATTTTTTAAACACAAAGATGTACATAATTATACAAGAGAAGTCAAAAGTAGAGGCGAAAGATCCATCATAGACAGTGTGTTAGTAAATAGATCATCGAGGCAATGCATTAAAGACGTAAGAGAAAACCGAGGAGCTGAAATATATAGTGATCACTATCTAGTTGTAGCCAGGAATAACTTGGGAGTGCGAAAAGAATCAATAATGAAAGAGACCAAGAAAACAAGTAAAGCTCATGATACATCCACTATAGAAGTAATCACGTCACATAAGCTAGCGGACAAGGAGACAGCAAACAAGTTTAAAAACCATGTTAAAAACTACCTGACAGAACACACTGAACATGACTGTGACTTAAACCAAAATTGGCAAATACTAAAAGAAGTATTCATAAACGGTTGTAAAGAAGAATGAGGAATAAGAAGATATAACAGAAGCAAAAAGTGTACAAACTGGTATTGTGGAACAATGAAATAAAAGCAGAATTGAAGTTCTAGAAGATAGCTTAGAAAAATTATTTAAGGAACGAAACTGCAGACAACTACCAAATATTGCAGCGAACTACTGCAGCGAAACGGAAAAGTTAAGAAGAATTCGGAAACAAGATGGAAGAAGACTACCACTCTAACGAAAATTTATTCTTTAAAACTCTGAAGAATTTAAGAACCGAAAAGACTCCACAAACACCAAAGCAAATAAGGGACAAAAAAGAACACTTACTGCATGACAATAACCACATCCTAGATAGATGGAAGCAATATTACGAGGATCTACTGATTATCCAAAACGATGTAGACATTATCACAGAACAATCAGAAGAGGTAGAGCAAGAAGACCAAATTCAAGATAAAATAACTATAGCAGAAACAAAAGAAACCATACAAAAGCCTAAAAAAGGTAAGGCGGCTGGATTTGATAAAATCACAGCAGAAATGGTTAAAAACACGGGCAAAAAGGGCATTGAACTACTAACAAAAGTATGTAATATGGCATGGAATGAGAGCCAAATACCAAACGATTGGGAAGTGGGAGTTATTCTATCCATTTTCAAAAAGGGACACAAACGGGAATGTAGTAACTACAGAGGAATAACACTACTGAGCATCCCATCCAAAGTATATGAGAGAATACTAGAAAAACGTATTTTACAACAAGTCGATTCTAAAATTGAACCATCACAGAGTAGATTTAGAAAAGGCAGAAGTATCCAAGATCACATTTTTACTATAAACAAACTAATACAAAACTCACGGAACTCAAGCAATGAGTTATACCAAGCCTTCATAGACTTAGAAAAGGCATTTGATAGTACTCCAAGGAAGGTGATTGACATATGTTTAAAAAAAACGGTGTGAAAATTAAACTCATGCAAGCCATTATGAGTATATATAGACATACAAGGAACAGAATCAGAACCGATAATATGGAATCTGAAGCTTCTATTCTCACTAGTCGTATGTCGACTCCCATCGAAACCGGAGCCATTATAAACGAGGCGACTGACTGTGCGCGATAGATGCCGCCGACGAAGCTTCTGTTGTGATGTTCTATCTTTTTAGAAGAAAACAAAGGAAAATAGCCAATAAAAGAAAATTTTGGGTTCATCCAATCCTGAGAGAAAGATTTTCTTTAGGAACTTTTCATAACTTAATCGGAGAATTGAGAAGTGACGAACATAAGTTCTTTAGTTATTTTAGAATATCCATAACTACATTTAACGACCTACTGGCACGCGTTTCTGCAAGAATTCACTATCAAAATACAAGATTTAGAGAGTGCATTTGTCCCGAAGAAAGACTCTCGATTTTTTTATGGTAAGAAATCATTTATTTTAAGAAAATAACACAAGTAGTAGAAGATAGGTATTTCAGAAATCAACATCAAAATTTAATTGTGAATTATATTGAGTAGAGCTTGACTGATGTGACCAGGTAGAAGAACAGACGATGTCAATGGAGGTTCAATAGTTTGGTCTGTCGGATATCCAGATCCACTTTGGGAAACCATATTTTGCTTTTGAGTCAAAGATCCATATCCATTTAGAGAAACCATATTCTGATTTTAATCCGCATATCCAGATCCATTTGGAGAAACCATATTTTGAGTTGAATATCTAAATCCTTGTAGGTGATTTCGTGACTGTGTGTCCCAATTAGATATGGACAGTCTATTTTCACGTTTCTTTTTAATGTTTTGTATCAATGACAAGACGCCTGATTGAAGAACGTTTCATTGGCATCAAAAGAAACTACAGCCGGTATTTACTTTAATGCCGATATTTTCAATTGCTTGTTCCTATAGCTATTTGAAGTTTTGTCCCAAAGGACAACTCTTTCATAAACTAGTCAAGTCAAATCTTTATGATTTATCTCAATCTTCATTTTTATAAAACAATGGATAAACTTGTACACTATAAAACACACAAAACACGTGGACGCTGCTAGTTTTCCCTACGAGGCGAGGAGGAATTTGTGTGATAGATGTGAACAACGCAATCAAAATTTATTGTCACTAGAGCACCCAACATTTTGCCGGGACGACATCCGACAAGTGGGAACGGGCCCTAAGCTCTACCAGAAGATTTAACGTAATAGACATTAGTTAAAGTAATATAGTTATTATTTGTTTTCATTATTTATTATATATTTAATATTATTGTTCCTGTACCAATGGCAATAGTTGTCGAGGTACTTCATGCAAAAAAAACTTTAAGTAGAGTTGGTTAATTATCATATAGTATGCAAGTCATATGTTGCCAGAATTAACAAGTGTGTATTAACAATGTTGACAATATTATGATGAAGGAATACCGTCCATTTCAGGGAAGAACTGTTAATTCCATATAATTATCAGAGACATGCAATTATATTAAAAATTTTTGTGTATATAAATTGACTTAAACAAGAAATAAGTAGTTGTACTCAGTATCGTGAATTGTAATAATCAACACTAACAAAATGAATACGTATTGTGTGATTTCTTTCTTGGCTGTTGCATTCCTAAGCGGAATAGAGGTAAGACATTATAGCAATAAGCAACAAATATTTGTGTATAAAAATGTCAAAAAATTATGTATAACATATTTAGGTAAACTGTGAATCCATCATATAGTTTATTAGCATTTACAGTGGAATAACTAAGCAATGGAACACATGCGGAAGAGAAATATAGAATACTTGGATGTAGATATAGAACAGGGAACCAAGCATCATTAAGTAACGACTGAGAAAATCAACAAAATGGTCTGAAAATGTTGTCTGAAAATAGTTTAAAAAATATTATTCATAAAATCAATGTGCTATAGCTAAATGATCTTGACAAGAGCTATGATCTTGTAAATAACAGGTAAACTGGTGTACTAAATCGGCATAACTCATAGCTATTGACAAAATCCATTAGCTTTACTTGGTTCCTTTTTAAAAAATTAAATTTTAATATTTTTTATACAATTATAAAAAGAACCACTCACTTGGTTTCATGTATAAATAAGAATATATTTTTTTATAAAATAACATAAAATATTTCTATTGATAAAGTAGCAACTAGTGGGTTTCAGGGAACACAAAAAAATGTCAAGTCACCAAATATGACAGGTTTATTTACCAACAAAGTAATGTGGTTCCTTGTACACAAACGTAAAAACAATATTAAGTGCTACAAACAGGTATCAAATAAGGTAAAAGAAAATAAAAAAATAGTAATTATTATTTTTGATAGAACTTTTTAACAAAATCTGTCTCATTCAGTTTCAGTTTCAAACTGAGAATCAACATCACCATCATAACCACCTACATCATCTATAATAGCATCATTAGCAAGAAATGTTTTGCTCGTTTTAGCAATCAAATGCATCATAGATTTAATATCATTCAACTTGGGCGTAAGAATAGGTTTTCCAGTCGGCCATGAAAGCTCCAAGTCAGTTGTTTGACAGCTCTGGTTTACCTTTAACTTTTGGTTGTAAATCAACTACAATAAACTGTTCATTATTATATGAAAATGTAAAAAATAAACTAAATGGACGTTCTTTCTCGATTATAATTTTTTGATCCAACAACCAGTTTACTTTTTATAACATAATATCGGTTTTTCTGTTGACAATCATTTTTTCTAGAGTACTTAAGAAGTCATTGGTAGTCATGGTGTTCACTGGTATTGCATTTTTTCCCTGCAGCTTCTCATATCATTTGCATAATCTGCTGGTCCGTGCAACATCAGTTTGTAAAAGACCAGCTACAATCTTGTTCACAGCTCGTATCAATTGAACATGTGTTTAATGCTGACGCTTTATGATTTTTAGTAAAATTTTAAAGTAAATAGGTAGAAACTATCGTGAAAATTTGAAGCACTTTTTCTTTCTTTACAATTTGAAGCAATCAATCACTTTTTTTTTAATAAAATAGTGTAATTGATAGAATAATTTTCATGGCATACATTGGTTTGTAGAGAATAAGTTTTCAAATCGAATAGTATGTAATAACAAACAATTTGTTTAGGTTTTTATTAAAAAAAGTGGAATAATAATGGTGTTCCTCTGACATTTTTGATGTGAGTATTTCTGTTGATTGCCTTTCGTTAATTTTTAGCACTTCTTTTTGTATTATGTTTTACTATCCTCATTATATCTAACAATTAAATATTTATAAGTATTATACTAACATCAGAATCAAGATGCACTAGAAATAAACATAACAAGACACGTTAAATGTTTAAGGAGTACTCTAAAATAATTATTTACAATGTATATACATTGCATAAATCCCAAATCATGATTTACAAAGTTGAAAATCATGATTCGGGAGTGTTCCTCGTAACATTCAAGTGTCTTAAACATTTTTTTTATCTTGTTGAACAATATATTGTAAATATTGAAGATTTGCTATTGAAATGTCTTGGTTTATTTATTTCCAGTGCATCTTAATTGTGATTTTAGTACAGTTTATAGTAATATGTCAGATATTAATATTTTAAATCAAATTTATATGGTAAAACGTTTCTTATGTAAACGTTTCTTATATGGTAAAACAAGCTGAGGTGCCACTTGCTGCTGTTTGTTTGGGAAACTTACAGGTTGTGCTAGTTTTCCACTAAAACTACATTAAAAATACCATAAAAATTCAATAAATCTTTTTAGAGCTTATCAGAAGCTGAACAAGCAATGATGTTCTCACTACACCAAAAATGCTTACCTATCTCTGGAGCTACCGATGAAATGGCCAAGCAAGCAATGGTAGGAAATTTCCCAGAAGATCCTGCCTTTAAAGAACACGTTTACTGCATGTCCAAAGGTATACTATTATTATTTCTATAATTATGTTTTTTAACTTTACATTCTTCTGTTAAATAATTGTTTTATTTTTAAACGAGATTGACTTAAGTATAAAAAAAGGTAAGTCGTAGTAAATGAAGCATAATCCAATTATCAGAATCTAATCAGGTTGATACACTATGATAATACTCAATTTGGGTTTAGGAGTGGCTTGGGTACAAGAGAAGCCTTGTTTAGTATACAGGTGCTAGTACAGAGATGCAGAGATATAAATCAAAATGTGTATATTTGTGCAATCGATTTTGAAAAAGCTTTTGACAAAGTCCGACATAACAAAATGCTAGAAATACTGGAAACAGCTGGATTGGACGATAAAGATCTACGAACAATTACAAATCTATACTGGCATCAAGTGGCAAGAATAAAGGTTGAACAAGAACTGTCGGATGAAATAAATATAAAAAGAGGAGTGAGACAATGTATATTGTCGCCTTTACTTTTTAACTTATATTCGGAGGAAATATTTAAGGAAGCCTTAATGGAGTAACCGTCAACAATATTAGATATGCCGACGATACCTTAGTCCTTGCCAATTGCGGAGAAGATCTTCAAAATCTAATGAACAAAATAAAACAGACTTGTGATCAGTAAATAGTGGATTAAAACCCATCGTTAAGAAAACTAAATATATGATAGTTGGCAAACAAAATTATATACATGATGACGGTATAAAAGTCGGTGATGCCACACTGGACAGAGTAGAGAAACTCGTGTATCTCGGCAGTAATATCAATGAGAGCTGGGATCCAACCGCAGAAATTAAAAGCCGAATAGAACAAGCCCGAGCTGCCTTTTGTAAAAATGAGAAACGTACTTTGCAGTCACGATCTTAGCATTGACCTTAGAGTTCGTATGATATCTTGCTACATCTTTTCTGTCCTGCTGTATGGAGTAGAAGCATGGACCCTAACTGAGGCTATGCTTAAACGCTTGACAGCCTTTGAGATGTGGGTATACAGACGACTACTGAAAATAAGCTGGATCGACAGAGTTAGAAATGAGGAGGTCCTTAGACGGCTAAACCAAACAACACAACTGGTCAATATAATAAAGAAACGCAAGCTGGAATACTTCGGTCATATTATGAGACACCCTGAAAAATATGATCTTTTACATCTGATCATTCAAGGAAAGATCCAAGGTAATCGTGGTCCTGGTAGAAGAAGAACATCATGGCTGAAAAATCTAAGGAAATGGTATGGAAAATCAACTACATCGTTATTTAGAGCTGCTGTCAATAAAGTCACGATAGCGAATATGGTAGCCAACATGATATCCAACGATCGATAACGGTCATGGAACTAGAAGAAGAAGAATCAGGTTGATAGTTGGTAAACATTTTTAAAATTTAGTAAAAGAAAATCAAGAGTTTCGTTAATCAGTGCTGTTTCACAGTTGTTCATCAACGTCTGTCCACCGTCTCATAATAACGATACAGAACCTTCACTATATGTTTATCATTTTTAATGTTTATGTTTGTGTTTTGTTAAGTTTTTTCATTATCACTATCTTGCCATGCTTTATCATTATCGTGTCTCTTTTTATTTCTAATTTAACGTGTCTATAATTAAAATTTGATAAATTTGTTACAGGTTTTGGGTTTTTTAACGAAAATGGTGAAGTAAATAAAATTGTAGTTGAAGCTGAGTTACAGAAGAGAATCGCAGATCCAGCACTGAGAGAAGAAATTAAAGCAAAATGTTTAGTAATGAAAGAAACTCCCCAGGAAACTGCTTTCCAAACTGCTAAGTGTATGTTTGCTTATAAAGATAGACTGTAATTATAAATTATTTGACTATCCGATCTTATTATGTATAAAATTTAAAATAAACAAAAACAAGTAAACGAGTGAGTTCCTATCTAGCCGTATTATTCTATGTATAAGTCTTTATAGATATTGGAAAGTTCTCAGGAAGAACTGTGTTAAAAACCCGACGTTTTGGCATTCATTTTGGAACCATTATAGAGAGGGATATGATTTTGTCCAAGTCAGTCGTCTTAATTTGTTACCCTCTTCACTCGTGACGTACCAGTATCTTGTTCTTCACAAATACGAGAATCTCAAACAGCACTCAGGTCACAATCTGCCTACTCCTCAGTGTCGAGTAACAGATTTAAGACCAGAAAACAGATATGAAACAGAACAGCTCTCGTTTCTATGCCATAGCTTGCAAAGAACGTTGCATAAACATAGGAGCAGGGAGAGACAGGTCAAAGTAGGGTGCTGTTTTGTGTTCTTTTTGGTTTGCAGAAGAATATGGATTATCAATAAACACCAAGAAAACCAAATTTATGAGGATATCAAAAATCCAAAATAATGGTGAAAGCCTGACAATTAATGGTAGTGCTTTAGAACAAGTTGAAAACTATCACACTATCTTGGCACAATAACTAATAACACAAACGATTACTCCAAAGAAATTAAAGTTCGAATAGAAAGAGCACGTACAAACTTTAATAAAATGAGAAAGGTACTTTGTACAAGAGAACTAAAATTGGACTTAAGAGTTAGGCTGGAAAGGTGTTATATTTTCTCGACACTGCCTTATGGGATGGAAGAGATTAATGCGTTGACTGCTAAAAAGTTGGAAGCATTTGAAATGTGGGTGTATAGAAGAATCTCGAAGATATCATAGACCGACCATGTAAAAAACAACGAACTCATGAGAAGAATCAACAAAAGAATGGAAGTATTGGAAACCATCGAGACACGAAAGCTGCAATACCTGGGGCATGTTATGCGTAATGAGAGATACAACCTACTTTAATTGATTATACAAGGGAAAATCCAGGGCAAGAGAAGTGTAGAAAGAAGAAGAATCTCATGGTTGCGTAACTTGAGGGAATGGTACGGATGCACATCAGTTGAACTATTCAGAGCAGCAGCATCTAAGATCAGAACAGCCATGATGATTGCCAATCTCCGTCGCGGAGATGGCACGTGAAGAAGAAGATGGGTTCTCTTCTTCTGGTGCATGTGAAACTAAACTGAAAATACATCTTACAAAAATAGGAAAAACATGGATAGTGTAGAGTGTAGATAATATTTTAACAATAAAAAAGTTTGTAAAGGAACAAAAAAAGAGGTAATTATTAGGAAGACAATAATCAGTAGGAGGACCACGTAAACAATGCAACAAGTTACTGGAGGCACATTCAAAAACAGGCAGGATCATGTCTACATAAAAAGAAAAAGAAAGGAAAAAGAAAAAAATTGTTGTTGCAAACTGTTGTCACTTGCATAAATGAGGAAAGTCCCGACCCTTCTTTGTCCCATACTTTATTGACTGAATATAGAAATTTTAATACAAATTATGACTTGCAGTAAATCAATACAAAATTGTTTACGGTTTTCTAACTTTTGTAACTGACATAAACATCGCACATGAATAATCACACGCGTTTCACTAAATTTGGCGTAAAAACGTAAAAACATGGTAGAATATAAAATATAAGTTAAGTAGCTCAATTAACAAATTTCCGACAATAGAGAGCTCTATGCCTGTGTTCACAGATCTACTTTGTTTCGTTCTATTACATGTTTAGTTTTTACAATTTATTGAATGTTCGCATAAGGAATAACTATAAATTACGTATACAAGATTTCCAGCAATATCTTTTGCTTTATACGCGTAGTATAATTTGATCGAAATAGACAAAACAAAATTTAATTAAACTTATTTCGTCTACTTTGTCATATAATTTATAAATTATCATAAAACTTACATGTCTCACGTGACATTGCTCAAATATGTATATAACGGGGAAGCACAAGGTAACTGGGTCAAATTAAAAAATAATTTTTTGTCATTCTAAAAATTGGATGAAAACGAAGTTCTACTTGGCCAAATACTACATCTGCTAATTGAAATTTTGCCCATAATGACATATTAGTGACAGCTGTCAACCTATTAAATAGACATTTAAATGCAACGGAGAGTTTAATACTGTAAAAGGGTCTACACTTTGCTGTTACTTATCCATCTATTCCAAAATTAGACAATTCCAATTATTCCAATCAGCTCAGTGGAGAAAATATTTCAATATTAATTACCAACCCACGAAAAAGAAGAATATAGAGTATTATGCAAACTTAAATTGAAAAAGTATATTAAAACTAAACAAAACAAGCAAGGAGAAACTAAAGGCTAAGAGAACTTTAGAAAATGACGACTCCATAATTATGCCACCGAACAACCCGAAGGTGCACTCCGATAAATTTACATTGGTAGCACGATACACTTACACCGGTATGCTAGATGAAAACCCTAAACGTGTCGGCTTGGCGCAGTGACGTCACGGCGAAGCAAGATTACCGCGCGAAACACATTATATTGCCATTCGTGGCTTTTCTTAACGTTTAGATATATTAATTTTCCGGTGATTTATTTAAAATTAACGTTTGTATATAAAACCAAATAATTATAGTTATGCCTGCGTATACCGTTTTTTGATATGGCAAAAAAGGGACTGGCATACGTTACTTTCGATTCCATCGAAAGATAAAATATATTTAAAAAATAGTAGATATCTCTTTATATATCTCCCAAAATACAAATTTGTTGAAGGAAATAAACGACATTAATGCAAGATATACTCATATAAACACAATGCTGAAAAATGTTTTTACTCCTGGTCAAATTGAAGACTTAATAAGGTCTGGAAGTAAAAAAGAAACCATGGGCGCCAGAAGATATAGCATCCGCGATTTCTTTATGTAACGTCAGTCCGGAAGGTTATCGATACCAAAGGTCGCGTGGGTACCCTTTACCTTTAATGTGTACGCTGCGAAATTGGGCGTTAATTACTCCGACATTTTGAACGAGGAGAAAAAATTAACCAAGATGCTTTGAAATATATAGCTAAGTACGTTACCTATAAATTCCAACATAAGTATAAGCTCAGAATAATAAACAATCAGAATTCCCACTCTCCATAGAAAATTAAGTACGCGCATCTCGTTCGCGCAGACGTTCCACCATGTTTTAGAGAGAACCAGTGTTGTTTATGTGGTGTGCATAGAAAAATGAACCCTGTTTAATTAACTTTATTACACACTATACAATTATATTAACAGTGTTAAATATAATAACATAAATAATAATATAATTAAACATAAATATAAACAATAACATAACCTCACAAATCATATGTCTGTGTTATGTGTTTCCTTCTAAAACATGGCCCGCGTGCTGAAAAACTTCAAAGGCGGCATCTGAGAGTGGGCATTCTGATTGTTTATTATTCTGTGGTATAAGTTAGAATATATAGCGGATAGCATAAGCATTATTATCATGCCGGATTGGATACAATTTATTTCAATAGGTGGTTTATTAGATCCTAATGACGACTTACGTTTTGATGCACAAATATTGAATCATGAATTTCAGTCAATGCATGGGTCTTCATTATCACATGACATCAATTTATTTAAGACATTAACTGCTAGGGCCATGCCCAAATGAGAAGAAAATAATAATGCTATACCGTATGAAGTAGTCTATTGTTTAAGCAGAACATGTACATAAAATATAATAAATTAAGACATCTAAGAAAATTATTAGAAAAAAAAATACGAATTACAAGATTTGAAGAAATAAGTTGTAATAAGTTTATGGCAAGCATCCGTTTGAATAAAGGGCAAATAGTATGTATTGTGCGTTTTTCATTGTAACGCTTCCCTATTTTTAAAACTAACTCTGTAAAATTTTAATATCTGTAATATTGTTAGAGGTTGTAATTTATAATGATATACATTTGTTTACTTTTTTTATTAACAACAGATTACAAACTAAATTTTTTCAAAAATTATCACATTTGCTTTAGACGAAAACCGTCTTTTTAGTTCGTGTTTATTCATTAATTTTTTATTTATTTATTTTTATTATGTAATTAGTGGAATTATGTTTATGTAGCTCTTGATACAATTTAAATTAGCATTACATTATATTAATTAATAAAGCACTAGTAATTTAAATGCTTTCTTTATCTTATTTTAGGCAAATTAAACTCATAAACCAATATATTATGTGATATTATGTTTAAGTTGCTTCGCCGTGACGTCAAAGTGTGAGAGTTAAGGTCGATTCAGACACATCAGTCCCGTCATAGTCTCGGCGCCGAACCGGTCCTGTTTGGTCACATAACTATCAACTATCTGACAGCTGGGAAACTGTTCGTTGCCTGATGAGTGTGAATATATATTTTTCATATTTCTATTAAAGAATATTTTGTATGACGGATTGTTCGGTTCGGCGCCAGGACTGTGACGAGACTTGACTGATGTGTCTGAATCGACCTTTAAGGTCAATTCAGACACATCATTGAATAAAGAATAGTATAGCCTTCAATGGAACGATTTAAGTATAGTCTTAAAAGAAACAGATGGTAAAAAGAGAAAAATCGAAAAAAGCGGCTCTAATTATGCTAAATGAGACCAATTGTGACGTAAATTCCTCGGCAAAATGCAGTAGGAGCTAGAACAAATTAAAAAATGAAGTTAATAACAGGAAAATACCACTATTAGTAAGTCAGTAACATATCGGGAATATATTATTTATGTTTTATCACATACATATAAAATCAGAATTTGGTGTTTATTGACAGTAAAGTAAATGTAAGACCAAATACTTACCATGTCGGGATAGTACTAGGGGGTTTTTCCTCATAATTTACTATGGTATCACTAACAGGAGAATTCTACTGTCATCATGGCAAATAGTTGCCTTTTTAAAGACGAATCACATGCTATGATTTTTTCTAACAGATTTTCTCAAGTTAAAGTTGATTGTATATAATCGAAGGACGATCTTAAAATAAAGTCATCTCAAGAACGAAATTCAGCAATATTGGCAATACCATTTTAGTCGTTTATCTTAAAATGTATAATATATGTTTAAATTGCCAATATAAAAAATGAGTCAAACAAAATTAAGATATTAAAAGAAATTCTTAACCAAGTAAACAAAAACAATTTTTTTTTATTTTATTAATGTTTGTATTTTGAGAACCAATTTTTGGCTGATAAATACTGACCAAATTTTAATACTGATAAACTTCTCTTTAGGGCTTGATAATAATAATAAACAAGACTTTGTCCCAAAAACTTTTTTGGTACCCTATTTTACGCTTTCTCTCAAGAACAAATTGATCTTTTTCGCTTATGTTATTTATCGGACTTTTATAAATTTAAACTCATTTTCATACATATATTTTTTTTACAAACTCGCATGAGCCAGGAAGGCTTGTATCAATAGTTTATTGTTTTTAGTTGATGGATAATCACTTTGGCACCGCACTTTAAGAATAGTCCTCTCGATTTCTTCGGGATTCCGAATTTACATCCTACCGCACTGTGTAACGGGCACTCCACTAGAGGGTGTTTTACTGTTAGCGGAGTCTAGCAAGCATAACACTCCGGTTGGGAATCCCTTGTCATCAGATGTCCGCCAGATCGTTGTCATATTTATCCGCCTTGTCATATTTATTCGCCAGCTCGTTTTTCGTTATTCCTACATGAAATGGCACCCACAGAAAAGCAATGTGATTTAGGTCTTATGAGTTTGACCACAGGAGGGAAAGACTAGATTTTTGAGATTCTAGAGAACTTAGCATCAGTAATTATTAAGAAGTTAATTTCAGGACATTTTGTAACGTGACATATGGCTTTATATATTGCAAAGAGTTCTCCCTACCTCCTGTTAAAATAGTATTAGTCTGCGCTACTTTAAGTTTCTTTATTTCATAGTTTTTTACAAACGCAGGTGCTATACAACGTTCTGTTTTAGATCCATCTGTGAATAACTATTTGAAGGAAGAAAATTGAGAAATGAAGGTTTCATATTTAGAATTCATTAGGTGACGATTGCATTCTTTCTTATTTTTTGATAATAGATCTAAATTTATGCGAGGAGAAGGTATTAGCCAAGCAGGGGAAGTTGGCACCTTGCTTGGATAGATTTCGGGGACTTTAAGTTTTAATTCATTTATGATTCATCTGCATCTTTCGTAAAACGGAATTTGAGTGCTGGATATTCAAGCAGCGAATGGTTTGGTGATATTGTAAAGAGTACTGTTTTAATACATATGAGAGCAATAATTCCTGTCTTCTTAAATCTAATGGTAGTTTACCGACTGCGGCCTAAAGACTTAAGATAGGAGTTGTTCTTAACGCACCGCTTATTATTCTAAGTGTGCTATTTTGAATGATGTCTAAAACTTTTAGAGTTATTGAAGCAGACAAGTAAGCGTGGTATTCATAATCGATCTTGGAGCGAATCAGATTTTTTATATAATATTAGTAGAGTTCTACCGTCCACTCCCCAGTTCGTACCAGAAAGACATTTTTTGATATATAGCTGATATATATTTGATGTGATCATTCCAGGTTAGACCTTGATCCAATATTAAACCTAGATATTTAATTGTATTCACACATTCAAGTGTCTCACCCCCCAAGTTTTAAAGTAGGTATTTTTTTCATCTGTTTTGGTCTCTGAGAATAATATGATGCAGCGAGTTTTAGATGAAGCAAATTGAAAACCACTTCTTTTAAACCATGCTATAAATTTATCAAGTTGATTTTGTAGTAATTTTTCCATACTCTGTATATAGTTTTTTTTATTTGTTCACGTATAAGCAAATCTTTATGATATAGATATGTTACTACACTAGTTGAACATTACCTTTTTTATCTTCACTTCTTCAGTCATCTTGCACATTAGTTCTATTTTGATATTTTTATTTAATAACTCTGATTTTACGAATATTTTTTTTCTAATTTTTCTAACTTTGTCTACATTTTTCCACATAAGTTCAGCAGGTAAAGCAATATATTTTAATATATACATACATGAATCCACTTTTGCTTACGACAGAATAAATATCAGTAAATTTATGATTTGCTTAATTTTATTGTATTAAACTTTAAAGTAAAGCTTTTAAATTATCAATTAGTATGCAAATCATATATTGCAAGAATTAACTAATAGGTTTTAACAATGATAACAATGTTGCGATGAAGGAATACCATCCATTTCAGAGAAGAATTGTTAATTCCATATTATTAGCAGAACCATGTAATTTTGTCAAAAATTTTTGTCTATATAAACTGATTTAAATAAGAAATAAGCAGTTGTCTTTAGTGTCGTCCTGTGTAACAATAAATATTAACAAAATGAATACATGTTGTGTTATTTTTTTCTTAGCTGTTGCATTACTAGGCGGAATAGAGGTAAGAATAATAGCAATAAGCAAATGACAAATATTTTTTAAAAAACATCAACAATTTAAAACCTATTTACATACATTTTGAGTCTATTATGCTATTCTATTAGAATTGATAGTAACTGAACAAGTGGCTACATGCGGATGGAAAATAAATAATAATTTATATTATGTGAATGTGATTATTCTACAGAGTTTCAGTGAAATAATTAAAAAAATCATTATTTTTTTTTATTTATTTAAACGTGTCTCAGCAATAATGGCCAATGACACGGTTAGAAAATTAAGGATTACAGCAAAATGATAAAAAAATAATATCTATATAGCGCAGTATATCTGACAGTTTGTAAGAAACATTACATTGTTTAATTTACTATTATAACTAAGAGTGGCGGTTATGTCTTTATCCAGTTTATGCTGATTTCGTGTCTTGGAACATAGCTGGTACTCAACTAATATGTGCTTGACGGTGACACGGGTATTGCAGGTATGACACTAAGGAGTATCGTTTTCACTCATTAGGTACCCATGTTTAAGACAGCAATGTCCAATTCTTAATCTTCTTATAACAGCTTTGTCTCTTTTAGAAAGTGCTGGTAGTTTTAAGGAAGAAATTATTGGTAGTATATTATGAAGTTTTGACCTCGTTCTATCCCAGAAGTTTTGCCAGGCTCTGAAATACATTTGTTTGACTGTATGTTGCAAATCGACCTTAACTTGCATACTTTCTATAGGTACATAAGAACGGGCTGCTTTTTTAGCTGCTTGATCTGCATTTTCATTTCCCGCAATATACACGTGCAATAGAGTCCAAATAATGCTAACCGATACGATCCCATATTTTAATTGGTGGCATGAGTTGTGGATACTTCGAATTAATGGGTTTTGGTTGCAAATATTGTTGACGGATAGGATGAACGATAATGAGTCAGTGCAGATTGAGATGTTTTTACTTTTGTTGATTTAACAATTAAGTGCTTTCATGATAGCATATAGTTCGGCTGTGTAGATGCTACAGTGATGTGGAAGACGGTAGGTAGCTATAACTACTTTGGTGGTACTGACAAAAGAATCAACCCGATCTTTAACTTTCGGAGCGTCTGTGTAATGATTAGGTCATACTGTTTGGTTTGTGTGGGTTCCAGGAAGGATGGCTTTAGGACGAAACTAGAAGTTTCTTTTTTGTTATATGTTAAAAGACTGGTGTTTAAAGTCGGCTACGGTATTGTTCATGGTGGAGTATTAGAGGATAATATTGAAGTAGTATTTTGTAAGAAATTGTGAAGCTGGTTTTACTGCTCTGGGTTTAGTTATGGTTATTGGTTTGGTAGTGTTGATTAACCCTCTCTCTCTTCAATCCTGACCCCCCAGGGGAGTGTTGTGGTCGACGTGATGTCGTGTATTGTCCGTCTCCAGAGATTTCTGTCTCTGGTAATTTCTTTTAATTCATGCATATGTCTTTGGCATATTCCTGTAATTTGATCTATCCATCTTGTTGGGGATCTTCCTCGTGATCTTCGGCCTTCTACCTTTCCTTGTATTATGAGTCTTTCCATGTTTTCTGTGTTTGCTCTCATAACATGACCAAAATATTTTAATTGTTGGAGATGGACTTTATACTAGAGAGTCGTTGGCTAACTCTTAGCTCTCTTAAAATTGAATTATTTGATCTACGGTCGGTCCAAGGAATTCGTAACATTCGTCTCCAACAGAACATTTCAGTGGCGTCTATCTTTCTTCTCTCCGATTGTCTCAGAGTCCAAGATTCACATCCGTAGGTTAGTATTGGGAATATTAAGCAGTTGATCAACCTCATCTTTATCGCTCTTGAAATTTGACAGTCCTTCCATATTTTGGTCATTTTTGCTATGGCGAATTTTGCTAGATCACATCTACGTTTAATCTCTTCTTGTAATGATCCTGTGTTTGTGATTAATTATCCCAGATATAAGTATAAGCTCACAACCTCGAACCAAATATTTGACTTTTGTTTCCGATCAGTCGTATAAGTTCTATCAGCTGAATTTCGTTTGAAAGTGTGTCAAGTACTTTAACTGATCCAGTAGTGTGTTCATATAGTTCGGTCATAAGCGTAATTAGATGTTGTGGTACGCCTACTTCTTTTAGTATTTACCATAAGTGTCTCCACTTGACCCTGTCGAACGCTTTACGGTAATCTATAAAACAGATGTATAGTGGGATGTTGAATTCCCTAGATTTCTCGATTATCTGTCTTATATTCAGCAGGTGTTCTCGAGTGCCTCTACCTTTGGTAAATCCAGTTCACTCTTGTAGAATTTCTCTTTGAAGGAATGTTTTCAGTCTCTCATTGATTATAATGTAGTATTATCTTGCTGGCATGGGATATAAGAGAGATAGTTCTATAATTGTCGCATTTATGGAAGCTGCCTTTTTTATGTATGGTCGTTATTGTAGATTTTGTCCAGTCTTCAGGCCATTGTTTGGAATGCCATATTTGGTTACAGAGTAGAAGAAGTAACTTTACGCCGGTTTCTTCTGTGGCTTTAAGCAAGTTGATTAATCCATTGACTGAATTATTTGGGTTAGCTGATGCTTTGAAAAAGTAGGACAAGATAATTTGCTGACGACAAATATTGGTAGGTGGTTTGTTAGCCTACTCTCTGTGGGACTAGATGTAAAAGCACCAAGGCATATTCGAAGAGTGGTGTTCTGAATGACATTGAGGCAATTTAGTTGTAAGTTGGGAGTTGACATGTATTATAGTATACTAGCATAATCCATTTCTAAACAAAAAAAGATCGGTAAATTCTCAACAACGTTTTTTAGTCTGCTTCCTATTGATCGCGCGCTAATGATTTTGGGATATTTAAAATTAAAGATTTAATTTATACAATAAAAAAGTATTCAAATTGAAAAATACATTTGGTAGGATCAAGAAAAACTTCTAGCGTCACTGAAAACATGTAAATATCTTCCTCATTTATGAATAGCACACAAAAATGGCTTGAACAATCTAAAGTATAATTAAACCAATTATTGCTTGAGTAAACTAAGAGGTCAGATAATAGAACAAGTGATGGAGATTACATATCTAGGCATCACATTATCTAGCTACGGAAAGCTCGAAACTTAAGTGGAAGGTACAGTGAATAGAGCAAACAGATAGAGCAAAACAGTCATTAGACCAGTAATAACATACGCGGCAGAAACACGATCTGACACATAGAAGAAAAAAGGATGTTAGAAATAACAGAGATGAAAACCCTGAAAAATTAATGACAAGACATTATGGGAGAGGGCTAGAAGTACAGATATACGAAGTGGATGCTGATGTGAACATTAAGAACGAAGCAAAAAATAGAGGAGAAGAATGGAACGATCATATAAGCCGAATGACAACAAATAGAGTAGAACAGACGGCAAGAGACGGTTCTCCAATATAAATACGATCAGTAGGAAGACCACGAAAACGGTGGAATGACAAAGGAGTCATGTCTACATAAAAAGAAAAAGAAAAGAAGAAGATTTATCATAGTAAGTCAAACATAATGTTTTTGTGTAAGTATAGCCTTCGTTGCATGGGTCAAAATGTTTTTTTGTTTTTACATTTAGGTACTATTAATTACCTGCCAGATGCCACCCTGCAGATTTTTACTACCAAGAATTTTGTTTACTCTTCATTAATTTTTACCACTCGTTTTTGCAGTATGTGCTAGTGTTCTGATTATATTTCACCATTACTGCTTTAATCTTACCATAAGAACTAGGTTATGGTCATATGCGAGATATTAATATTTTAAAAGAATACATGTGCTCTCTACTTTACTCTAAATCTCTACTCTAAATAAATATCAGAAAAATCCTTTAAATATTTCTAGAGTGTCTCAGATGCTGACAAGGATATGGTGCGTCAACTACATGAAAAATGCTTACCTATCTCCGGAGCTACCCAAGAAATGGTCAATCAAGCAATGACAGGAAATTTCCCAGAAGATTCTGCCTTTAAAGATCACGTATATTGCATGACCAAAGGTATGCTATTATTATTTCTATTATTATAATTTTAAACTTTCTATTTTTCTGCCGTTTAAAAGTAAAATAATTGGGATATCGTTTTATTTTTAAACGAGATTGATTATTAAAGATATTTTCTACTTTTTGTTTCATATTTATGTATACATATAATATAAAATAAGACAAGATGTGATCAATAAAGCATAATTTAACCAGGTTGGTGGTTGATAACCTTATTATTTATAGTTTAATAATAGAAAATAAATGTTTTTTCCGCAAATCGCCAGGAAATTTTGAAAAGTCAAAATTTCTTGAAGAAAAAGTCAGGACTTCCTTACTGTAAGGAAATGTCATTTCCTTACTGTAAGGAAATGATATTTCCGTACAGTTGTTAGTGTTATACATAAGTTTGACAATTCAACCTCAATACGTTGCCATAGTAACCCAAGTAATTTTATTAGGAATTTCAAAGCACCATTTTTTTGGGAATAAAATTATCGCGTTTTTTTTTAAATCAATCAATATCTGTCGAACTTTAAACGATTTGCGGAAAAATAGTATGTTTACCTCGTAGGAAAAGCCACATTCCTGGACTCTGTGTTGCTAAGTCTCGGCTTGCGCCTCGACTTAGCAATCTTCACAGTCGTCCAGGAATGCTAAGCTCTTCCTACCCGGTAAACAATGTACTATTTTTGCTAAAATCTCTATATTTTTGTTATTATTTTTGCATTTTTTCAAATTTGTACAAATTTTACTGATTAAATGTAAATTTGATTATTTCTTGTCTTCGCACTATCTTGTGGTTCATTATCATTGTCTTGACTAAATTTATTTCTAATTTCACCTTTCTTTATAAATGTAATGAATTAAGGCTATTTTAAATCTAAGAAATTATAAATTTATTACAGCTTATGGATTCTTTAAGGAAAACGGTCAAATAGATATAGGTGTAGTGGAATCTGAATTGCACAAGAGAATTGCAGACCCAGTACTAAGGACAGAAATTAAAGCAAAATGTTTAGTACTAAAAGAAACTCCTCAGGAAACAGCTTTCCAAGCTACTAAATGTTTGTTTGCTTATAAAGAAAACATTATGTAATTATAAATTATTTGAGTATGCGATATCTTTATCTATAAAATAAACAAAAATAAGTAAACGTATTAATTTCTATCTGATCTTATTATTATCCACTCGATCCATGCCATGCATGGTAAGGCATGACCTTCATGCCAATAGTTGAACCACCCAGTCGCAAATCTTATGTATATGGAGGGTGCCGGTTTACAACATCCCTTCCATGGAGGGGCTTATATGCAACAGTGTCTCCTTCAGCGGCTTTGTTCTTGCTGTAAGCCCAATTAGTCCGCTAGCCTTCGACAGCTCAGTAGAGAAACTAAAATGGACTTTCAAAGTTGCTTTTATCTGGCCTGTTGAATTGATATAGTGAAATAAAACAATTACTTGTTTAGAAAGAAACTGTAATTGAAAAATTAAAGGGCAAGAAATAGAGCTTATAAAATTTGAGTGTGTAACTTTTCGTAGGAACTTAATTTGAATATTACAATTTGCGAACAAAAGCGAAAACACCATAACACTTATTCACATATTACGGCTTCCCGGTCAATCGCGTAAACTGCAACGTGGAGAATCCTCTCAGAACTTTTGAAATATAGATGTTAGCCCTACGAAAGTCGCTAAATCACTAGCCCCGCTGGAATATTTTTTTGTTTATGCATTTTGAAAAGCCGGTCTGTCGTCAAGTAGGCGTTGTGGGCGGGGATTAACATTCTCAGAAACAAGGTCTAGGTAGACTGGATTTATTTAGGTAACCGACGCGAAAATAGAATTATTTGATACAAAATAGAATTATTGGTTTGGAGATATAGTTCTCCAACAGTATAGTTACACATTTTTACTAAATTTAGTATTTTATTTTTGTCTCCAAAAAATGCATCAGAAGTATAAACACAAAGGAAAAATACGAGAAGCATCAGGAATAAAAAAAAGGTTCGTCGTGAATCTAAAGAACAGGATTAGAAATGTGTTGGTAATGATACTGTAGAATGTCTTTTTTGCATAACGGTAAAGGACATCGCCGTAGCTGCAATTTAATAGACGCAAGCACGTTGAAGTATTCTTCCAGAAAGCTTCCAAAATTAATGACAATTTGGAATTCACGGTTTAATCTGACATCTTTTGCGGGCTAACTAATAATATGTATACTTCATCTAATTTACTTACCGATGCACGTCATTATCATTGACAGAGATCGAAGTTGACATAGTTGCCACAGAATAAAAAAATCCTGACTCCATTTTAGATCAAATAGGTCACATAATTATTGCAAAAGTATTACCATCTCTTTCCTACGACTATTCAAATTCTTACGTAACATTTTTGAAATAAAGCACACTAATTTTTTTCTAAAAAGCACAGATTTTATTAAATAGGTAAAAATATAAAACAAAAGATATTCACTTTAAAATTCAAAATAATAAAGTACAAAAAGTGTCAACACCGCAACTGTCAAATAAGTGTTACCAATTTATGCCAAAATTCCACCTTCGTTCGATTACAGTTACAGTGTGTTCCGAACAAATGTTCTTCATAAAAACGCTTTAAAATGGCATTTATACAAATTAAATGAAACATATTATTGTGTATTTCTTTAAGTTAACATTAATAGAAATCTTTAAATATTATTTCTACACGTATATAATAAAATATGTCTAGTTGCTGTAATGCCAGTGTACTCGGCAAAGTGATTCTAAAAAAGAACACACCTATCGCCTAAATATTTCGTGTTGGTATCATATGACGTCACGAGCTATGACGCCGATGACGTGCATTGGTATGTAAATTAGATAAAGTATATATCATTTTAATGTTCTTGCACGCAGTAAAAGCAATAAAAATAAAAGAAAAAATTTATTTAAAAATTCCTTAATAAAAGCTATAATATTAAAAAACTCTATCATTCTACATGTTTTGAGCCACTAAATACTTGGGTAAACACTCTTTAAATGTTGTTTTTTTCATAGATAATGTTAAAGTTTTGCTATAACAACTGTTTTTCCTTATCACAATTTTCTGTGGCAAAAAGATTCTTTGTCTAATGCCATATCTCTGTCTCACACACACACACACAACATGATACGTGTACATTTCTGAATTTGCAAGTTTCAAAAAATCTGCAATCTTCTTGGGGATATATAGCGTTAATCCCTACCGGTTGAGTAGTGCACTTTTTCTGTCGGTAATTTACAAAAAACTTACTGTGAGGTACGTTTTTGGGACGCAAGGCAATATACTTTTTCACAATTTCCAAGAAACTCAGTCCACTTTTCTTGTCAGTAATACAAAACGACCTTTCCTGCTTGGTTTTAGTATCAGATAATGAAACGATTATCACCGATTTTCTGTCGTCTACGTTAAACACTTCTAACTTGTACAATTCATTGGACCTAGTCGCTCCATGCACACAAAAAATAGCAATAATCTTCATCAACAAATAGAGGTAATCAGGAGCTTCTGTCAGAAATTTAATAAAGTCATCTTACTCCAGGATTTTGGACATTTTAGCTTTGTATCCTCCACACAGGTTTTTTAGTAAGGTGGTTAACTTGCTGAATTTAGAAATGTCACAATTTTCATTCACCAACAACGTACGCTTCAGCATCGAATAATACGACCATAATAACGATGGCATCGCTTTCTTCGACTTTTCAGAAAAATACGTCAGAAGTATTTTTTCACTCACGCCATTGATATTCTTAATGCTTTTCCACTTTTTAAAAGACTGGTGTTCTATCTCATACATCATCCTAGATTTTTGTGGCAACAATGAACTTTCTGCTTCCAACGCTGCATTTTATACATCTGATGGCAGGTTTTCCTTTTCTTGTGTCAAGTCTTTTCCGTCCATTTCGTATTGATTCACTTTTTACACAAAACGCAACAATATTCTCCGCAAAAACCAAAACGTAACATTTGTTTGACATTTGTTGACAAAGTAATTCATATCCCTAGCAACGGAGCAACACAATTGCGATTTTTGTGCCAAAAATTACAATTTTCTTTGAAATTCTATTTTTTACCTGAACTTGAAGTCTTGCTATAGAAAAAAAAATATTGATTTGCACACGACGATAAAATCGCATTATCTCCTCGCATAATTAGCGTCTCGACTGACGTCTCGACGCTAAAAAACGCTCTCGAAGATAAACTACAATTTTATCGTCTTGTAAAATAAATAACTATAAATTGAATTTAAGTTACATTATTTAATTTTAATTCAATTCTTTTTATTTGATCAGAAACGTGGCATTCCATAATAGGTAAAAGAATTAAGTCATTTAGATTTCTTCGACTTAAAAAATTTAAGTAGTATGACAGGTAACAACTACGCTAAATATGTGACTGGTAACTTTATTAAAATGTATGATTTCAAAGTTCATGTTTGACAAGTATAGACCAGATTTATTTCTTGTCTAACTCTCATACAAAGACTGAGAATTTGGAGTAATTTTAGTGCGAAAAATAAAACTGCAATCTTCTTTTGTTTTCTAGAAAGCGTACTCAATAAATATTGCGATTGATGGAAGAAAGAGAGGCGACTGTTTGCAATAGTGTGATAGGTTCAAATCATATCCCGCAAAGTTCTATCGATATTTTTAGTTCCCTGTTTCCTTGAACTCTTACACATTAAACTTATTTTGTACACATTTAAGCTGAACTTGAATAATAAAGCAAAATAGACGGAAATTCATTTCTAATTTTTATATTTAATACTCTTATAAATCCGAATTTATAACTAATGTAAGAACTTACAGAGGAGCTGACGTTGATTCAAACCATTATATGGTCTGAGGTAAGTTAAAGTATGAGTATTCAGAAAAAATAAAACATAAAAGAAAGCAAAACATAAGATATAACAACGACGAATTGAAAACAGAGGAAGCAGCCAACAAGTAAAGGTAAGATCTAGAAAATATTCATAACCGCGACGTAACAGTTCAATTAAATGGCATAGACGAAAACTGGCAAATACTCGAAAATATTATAAAAACAGTTATGAATGATGACAAATAGTAAAAACTGTTATGAAATATAACAAAGACTAAAAGGAAATAGAAGAAATAATGGTTTGGACACAGAATGTGAAAAAAAATAGAGTTTAAGCGAATAAATAGACAAAAGATGTTACAAACAAAAAGTGATAATGATAAGTGATAAAGAAAGATATAATGGGCAAAGGAAATTAGTAAAGAAATTTGCCGAAAGAAGAAAAGAGCTTTAAGAAAGGTAAATTCAAAATATGGAAGAAAAATATCAAAGGAGTAATAAAATATTATTACAAAGATGTTAAAGAAATAAGCAGAGGTTCAAATTTAAAAACAACATACATTAAAGACAAATAATTTGATAGGAAATGAACAACCACATTTAAAGATATGGAAACAATATTTCAAAGAACACCTAAACGGTAAAATAGACGAAAAAAACGACCATAAGCGAGATTCAATAGCAATAGGTGAAATAAATATTGTAAGACCAACTAAGGATGAAGTTAAGGAAGTTTTAACTGCCATGAAAGACAATATAAGCCCTGAAGAAAACGGCGTAGCAGTAGAATACTTAAAATATGGAGGAGACTACCTAAGAAAAAAACCTAAAAACTAATGTGTAATATCTGGAAAGAGGAAATAATACCTAAAGAGTGGTGAAAGTCTATAATATACCCAATACATAAGAAGGGAGACCTGCCAAGTTGTGATAACAATAGAGGAATAGCACTCCTGAACGTCACATACAAAGTACTGGAAACCATACTAAAAAGAAAAAGAGAAGTATACACAGAAAATATATTGAACGATTATCAAGCTGGTTTTAGAAAAAATCGATCAACCAGTGACCATGTATTTATGCTGAAACAAGTTCTCTCTGGTGCATATGAATACGGAATACCGACCCATCATCTCTTTGTCGATTTTAAGGGTGTTTATGAAAAATGCAGGCAGATCAAAACTGACGAAAGCACTACAAGAGTTCAAAATCCCATCTAAGAAAATCAGACTGACACATATGACGCTTCAGAACACTACAAGTGTATTTAAGATTAATTAAAAGAAGAGCCAATACTTTAGAGTTCAGAAAAGTGTAAAACAAGGGGATCCTCCATTTGTCACGCTGTTTAATTTGGCCCTTGAATAGAGCGGGAATAATTAATTACTATTTTTACTGTTTGTATTTTGAGAACGATTTCCGAAGTGGAAATTGAAACATCAATAAACGTATTTTTATCTTTAATTGTGGCTTATTCCCAGTTAAATAGTAATTAATTTACAATGCCACAAGAAAATAGCTTCAGAACAATAGCGGGAATAATATTTAATAAGAGTTATCAGTGTCTATTATATGCTGATGATGTAGTTTTGGCTAGAAGTACAAAAGAATTAGTAAAATAACTAAGAATCTTCTTAATAAGACCAAATATATAAAGTTATAGAATTAGCAAAAGAAAAGTAGAAAAAATTAATATGGAAATTGCATTAGGGAGAGAAATTCTGGAAATTGAAGAGGTAGAGGATTACTTGTATCTGGGAGTTCTTGTAACAAATAAATACGAAGGAGAAAAGAAAACAGATCTATGAATAGTTAAAAGAAACAGATGTGCTGGCAGTTTGCAAAGAACAATTAACGAAGAATATTAAGAAGAATTTTTCCAGGAAATTTGACAGAAATAGGATGGGAGAAAATAACAAATGCTGAAATTTATTAAATGATCGTTGCAGGGAAAATAAGTGATTTTGTTAAAGCTAGAAGATTGCAGTGGATTTTGTTAGAATAAAGGACAGTAGAGAGGTACAGAACATAGCATGCAGAACACCAAAAGATAAGAGGCAAAGAGGCAGACCGAGGAGAAGATGAGGGAAGCAGTCGCGGAAGATCTACAAGAAAAAAAAAAAGAAAATTAGAGTAAAGAAGCTGGAGACAGAAGGAGATAAAAGAGAATTACTAAGCTATGGGCCTCAAACGGCCTGCATATACTCTGATAAATAAAAAACACTCCAAAAAATATATTTTACTTATAACAAAATTAATAAAAATCTTGTGGGCCGAGATAATTGGGCGTTCAATGCATAAAACTCACTCTGTATTTTAATATATACCTACATCAATCCACATTTGATTAAGACAACAAAAATATCAGTAAATTTGTGATTTGCTTAATTTTATCGTATTTAACTTTAAAGTAGAGTTGGATAATTATCAATTAGTATGCAAATTGTATGTTTCCAGAATTAAGTAGTGGGTTTTATCAACGTTGACAATATTATGAGGAAGAAATAGCATCCATTTCAGGGAAGAACTGTTAATTCCATATAATTATCAGAAACATCAATTATGTCAAAATTTTTGTGTATATAAATTGATTTAAATAATATATAAGCAGTTGTACTCAGTGTCGTGCTTTGTAACAATCAACACTAGCAAAATGAATACATATTGTGTGATTTTTTTCTTGGCTGTTGCATTCCTAAGCGGAATAGAGGTAAGACATAACAGCAATAAGCAAATGACAAATATTTGTACAAAAATATTAAAAAAATCTAACCTATTTAGATTAATTAGAGCCCGATCTATATTTACTGTTCAATTAACATTTATAGTGTAATGACTAAGCAAAGAGCTACATGCGGAAGAGAAGGAATAATAATTTATACTATGTGTAAGTGATTATATTTATCATTATAAATATAATTAGATTTATTAAAAATCTAATTTATACAATCTATGGTGCAATAAAATATTATTATGATAATTTGCCAGTTCATGCAAAACTCTCCAAATTCTAAAATGACTAGAACAATCCAAAGTTTAGTTAAATCAATTATTGCTTTAGCGAATTTTGATTCAAAATACAATGGCTTTATAATGTTCGACATCTTGTTATTCTTTATCGTCATTTAACACATTCGCTGCTGACTTTTTCCTAGAGGTTTTACCTAGGAGCGAAAATAACTTTTTACTAAAATATCATTATAATTGACATTAAAATATATAACAATATTAAATAAATTAAATAAAGTGTATATTTATTTATAAAATGTGATTTGAGTTTTTGACAATGGAAGTCATGAGCACCTCATGACTTCCGAATTTCTAGCGTTTCTCTGACTGACTCCGATCGGTACAAGCCAAATTAGAACGTTTTTTCAGAACAATAATTATATACTGGAATTTTAGAAAAAATAAGTTTATTTATTCTATAAAATACAGAAAAATTCACATATTGAATTGATTTTAATTCAGATGTGAGCAATTTCAAAGCATTTAATTTAAAATCCAGGTTAAAGAAGGAATATTTTTGTGATATGTTTTCTGCTTTCTAATTTTATTTTCGGAGCATATTTTGCAACGCTTTCTCTTTGTTCGTCCATTATTAACTATAAGAATTTTTAAAATACTATGTCTGGAGGCAGGAATATTTGTTGTTTTTCACACTTTGAAGGATCTTGCGTACTTTTTCGCCATTTTGAATCACGAAGCTACCACAGCACAGAACTGGTAAACATTTTTGAAACTTAAGTCCTAACTCACACCTTGACAAATATTAACTAACGTCGGCGTCGTACTAAGTAAAATATACCGTCTTGAAAATTAACTGTCTTCCCAATCCATATCTTCTATGCCTCTTTATCTCACTTCATTGGTAATCTTAAATTTTCAGACTTTCTGATTGTCTCTTTTTATTTTGATTTTTACTTATACATTTATACTGAATTATACAAGTTACTGACATTAGACGAACTGTTTTACCTTTATGTTTGCAACTTTTTGGCTCCTACAGTTCCTGCTATCTTTATTTAATAGTCCATTACAATAGTACCTGCCGTTATTTGTCATACCTCTGCGCTTTATGTTATAATACTTTCAACTATCATTATATATTTTTTACTCAATCAGGAATTAAAAATATCATACAAATAAATTTAAATATTTTTAGAGCATATCAGAAGCTGAAAAAGCCATGATGTTCGCACTACATCAAAAATGCTTACCTATCTCTGGAGCTACTGACGAAATGGCCAACCAAGCAATGACAGGGGAGTTTCCAGAAGATCCTGCCTTTAAAGAACACGTATACTGCATGTCTAAAGGTATATAAACTGAATATTCACTGCATGTATATTTCATTATTTTACTATGCTATGCTCTTCAGCTCTATTTTTTTCTGCTACCTTATCATTTTATTTGATATCGGAATTGATTTTTTAACACCCACTTTTTCTTCTATATTTACGTAAATATATATAAAATATATAAAACAAGGTATAAAGTGATAAACAAAGCACATTATAATCAGGTTGATATTTGCGAACCTTCTTTATAGTTTAGTAAAAGAAAATAAAGAATTTGGTGTATAATTGGTCACAAATATTGTTCGGAAAATGATTACAAAATGCACTTTGTCCGTTCAGGCAATCATCCGATTGCTTTGCAATTTTTTGCAGCTGTTTCCTGTATCAAAATTCTATACTTAACGAATTTATTTTAAAACAGAATCATTTTTTGTTGAGATGTAAAATTAAGGAATGCAAAAATATGGAAAAAAGTTTACCAGTCCTACCCGAGGCTTCACTCTAAAACCTTCCCTGGAAGGTGGAGTGAAGGAAGGGCGCAAAACATCGATTTACCCAGAACCTATACGTCGTAGAAAAACCTTGATACTTATTTTATTTTTCCTTTCAGGATTCTTCAGTTTTGAGATGTCTATTTTTCTTGACACTTTCCCTTTCAACTTTAATAAACCTTTCTAGTCTAAAATCCATTATAACTGAATTATGATCGCTATGAATGTCAGCTCCAGCATATATTTTAGTGGATTTTATGTACTTATTAAAGTTGTTACCGAGCAAAATGAGGTTAATTTGATTTTTATCAATTTTATCTTCTCTGTCTGCAGGCGATTTCTATGTGTATAGCCTTCTAGAATGTTGTTTGAAGAAAGTGTTGGCTACTAGCACGCTCGTTACGCAGAGTTGTAGCAGTCTATCTTCATTATTGTTTCTGGTACCAAAACCGTATGCTTCTATGCTCTCTGCTTTAGCACCACGACCAATTTTACCGTTAAAGTCACCCATGATCATGGTTATCTTGCCTCTTTTATCAGTCGCATTATTTTATCTATACTGTTATTAAACTCTTCAATTAATTCCTCTGATTTGTCCTTTGTTAGAGCATAGATCTGAATAACATTTAGGTTTTTATGAGTTGTCCTTAATTTCAACATTAAAACTCTATTATATAGAGGGATGTTTACGACTGGCTGCGCAAATATGTCCGATGCATATAACAATTTCCATATTGATATTTTGGGTCAATTTCACCTAAGTAATAAATGTATCCATCTTTTGTTTTTCTGAATAAGGCCATCTTACTTCACTAATCCTCAAGATGTCTATTTTCATTCTCATCTCAACTTCAATGGTTGCAAGTTTCCCGAACATGAACAAGCTGCGTGCTGTCATATATTCCTGTCTACTTCCTTAAACTTCAATAGCAGTTGACGGGAAGATTATTCGCACCCTCTCCCTGTTTAATGGACAAACGCCATTTTATGTTTCCGTCTACCATTTATATTTGTTGAAAATATATTGGGGTGGTTTTTCTGTTGTCTTCCCTATCGAAGTACCACTTCCATTCAAGTGTCGCCACAGCCGGTCCAGAATCATTACCTTTACGCCTTGAGATGGTTTTGGTGATCGTTGATGTCCTTAAGGGAGAGATAGAAAATAGGTAACCAGATTTAGATGTCCAGGAAGAACAAAGGAATGGGATATGATTTACCTCTTTTTTTTGGGGGAAAGCCGGGGGTAAAAGTAGTAAACTTTTTTGAATACTTTTTGAAGTTGCAATTTTTTGGGGGACGCAGGTGGTCTCAAAAGTTTTTTGTTAAAGGATTTCGGCAATTGTATCAAATGAATGCAATACTTGTGTAACATAATTTTTTTCTTTAAATATCGAATATTAAATATATAAAAAAAATTATTTGACACGTCCCTGGCTAATATGTGAGAGCGACCTTAAGCTGTTTACTTCTAAATGTTTTTGCCGAATCAGAAAAAAATATATTAACGGCGTAATTGTCGAATTTCTTCTTCTTCATGTACCATGTCCTTTCAGAAAGTTGGGAACCATCATCACTATCTTAATTTCATTTACTGTCATCCTAAATATCATGCTTGTATCAACACCATACCAATCTCGCAAGTTCTTCAACCATGAGGTTCTTCTTCGTCCTGGACTTGCACGTATTTTTCCTTGCATGATATTTTGTAGCAAGATATATTTGAGATCTCTCATTAGATGTCCGAAATACTCCAGATTTCTCTGCTTGATGCTTTTTATAATCCTAGTAGTCTTGCTGACACGTTCTAGTATTGGGAATTTCGAATCTTCTGCACCCAGGAAACTTTTAAAATTATTCTGTACCACCACATTTTGAAAGCCTCAAGGCGATTTAGATTGATTTTATTTACAGTCCAGGACTCGACACCATAAAGACCGAGAACAAGTAGCAGCGAAGTAGTCGAATCCTCAATGCCAATTTTAGGTCTCTGTTACATGACACCTTGAACATCCTTCTAAAAGCAACTCTATCCTGCTCTATCCTAGATCTAATTTCTCCGTGACTTTCTGCGTTACTAAATGTAATGTCGAATTTGACTGCGTTTTAATTTTAAATAAGTTCTTACGACAATTTTAAGATCCAGTACCTTTAAGGTTTGATTTTGAATCCAAGGCATCGCATAAGAGGGATTCGATTGGCCACGAAATGAGATCGGGTACGATGATATCCGATTTTGTCGAGTCACGACGGAGAGCAGTGTGTGGCGGTGTAAAGAGGACAGAATGGGAACGATTGAGGAAGAAGGTTCGTTTATGTAGAGTTTTGACAACAATTTTTTTTAATTCCATGCGTGTCTGAGAAGAAGGTGCTTTGAGCTCGAAATGTTATGTTATAAGTTAATCGCCGTTTTGTTGTAACCTGTATAGTGTGATAAAGGATTTGATAACAGCGTTGTGAGGGCTAAGTAAGTCGACATGGTTTTAAGTGGAAAATAAGCAGCTGAGTTCTGAGCAGCTGAAGTCCAGTTTTGGTATCTGATTTATTTTTTTCCAGGATTTGTCCAGCTGCAGCCTCTATTTTATGTCTTCCAAAGGTCAGATTTTGATTATTTAAAGTTTGTGGTACAACGTTTTTTGTTCAGATGTAAAGTAATGAACTTTTATAATAATTTAAAAAGAAATAACTAGCCAGGAAGCAAGTAGTTTTGTTAAGTTTTTCTAAATAAACATTTATCGTTAATATACCTACTAAGATTTACTCTTATGTAAATTTAAAAGTTTATAAATAAATATACTTTTTATATATCAGCTAATTGTCATATTTTAGTTTCTTTTAAATAAATTTAACGTTTGATAATAAATTAATAATTGAGAAAAGTTTGATAGTTTTAGAGTATAATATTTAGACTTTATATATTTTAGTATTTTTAGTACTTTATTTTACAATCTATATTTTCATTACTTGGTCATAATTTTGTCTCGAATGGAAATAGTTTCTATCAAAAACCTACGTAGTACCTTTGTAGTTATTAGCATTTTACTCTGCCACAAGTCTCCATACATTTATCAATTTTTTTATTTTTTTTTTCAAATTTGCATAAATTTTTATTACTAAATGTAATCATTATCACTATCTCATTTTGCCTCTATTTAATTTTAATTTTGCGTTTTTATAATTGTTTTTTTTTAATTAAGTAGTTAATTTTAAAACCTAAAAATTAAAAAAACTTTTTACAGGTTTTGGATTCTTTAACGAAAATGGTGAAGTAAATACAGTTGCAGTGGAAGCTGAATTGAACAAGAGAATTCCAGACCCAGACCTAAGGGAAGAAGTTAAAGCAAAATGTTTAGTAATGAAAGAAACTCCACAGGAAACTGCTTTTCAAACTGCTAAATGTATGTTTGCTTATAAAGATCAACTTATGTAATTATAAATTATTCTACAATCCGATATGTTATATAAAGTTTAAAATAAACGAAAATAAATAAACGCATTAGTTTCTGTACATTCGTGTTATATAACAGGTAAAGTCTACCAATTAACAGAAATCTCCCTGGAAATGAAAACTCAACTACTCCGCGTCACGTTTTAATAAAGTTTTGTTGTGAGATCCGGATATATTTGAATATTAAACTACATAGGTAACTTAGTTTTAAATTGTAAATTTGTCAATGCAACTTCATAAACCGTTATGGCACTAACTCCATACTATGTAAGATTAAACTTTTGCAAAGACGACTTCTTCTTTTTAGTGTGCGTCATTTTTTAAGAACATTGTCTGCAGCAATTTGTTTAACCAAGACGTGCTTCGTTCCCTTGATCCCCTTTTTTTCTTCCACTTTTATTTAATTTCTTAATATGCGACCAAAGGAACTCATATCACGGTTTCAAGAGCTTACCTAATTGAAATCTGATAACGCGCAGAAATATGTGTCTAAAACTATAAAATTTACCCAGTAAATAAAAATACAAAATAAAAACGTTTATTGACTTAATTTACTTAACATTTTATACTTAAATATTTCAACCTAAGATATCATAGTCTTCTTTTTTGACGTCCTGCTTCTGCACCGCCTACTGGTTGAGCTGCTGCCTCTCGGACCTTCAATTTTTCTTAATGGACTCATTGGCTTCTTTGTCTGTAGGTACTTGTTTTCGGCATCGAACCTACTTTCCTGATTGATTGTCTTTGGCAACCACCCGACTGGACCTGATCATATAGTCGATCAGTCTGTTTTTTGATCTGTACATCCCTTTGGATCCGATTCTTGGCGAGGATGTCCCTGGTATTAATGATTCTTCTTGTGGCTTGGTGAAAGAAGTATCTTGTCCTTTTCTCAGCCACCTCTCTCAGTGGTGTTTACTGGAGCCTTTATTTGATGGTTCCATTTGTTATTGTTTCTTTGCATGTTGATCTATCAATGATCCTGTAGCATGACGTTTCTGTAGCTTCTATCTTCTTCCAGTTGGTTTTCGATGTGAAGCTCCATACTGGGACAACATAAAAACTTACCAATCTAACGTAGGCCTGGTATAACTGGATATTCTTGGACTTTGTTAGTGGACTGGATCTATAAATATACGGAAGTATTAGTTTCTTTGTAATATTTACTTTTACCTTGATTTGTTGAATGTTCTTCATGAAGTTGGGTTTCTTGTCGAGATGGACTCCTAGGTATTTGACTGAATTTTCTGAATGGATCCTGTTTCCTTCCGTTGTGATTTCTATTACTGTTAAATTTGGCTCCTGCGTTAACATAATAAATAGCGTCTTTTGAGTGTTTATCTTGATGTTCCATTTTTCGGTAAATTTTATGATTCTTCCAAGGTGATTTTCTATGTTTTGAACTATTCTTCTATCATCCCTGCCCATTGCATATATTGCCGTGTCATCTGCGTAAAGAACAGTACTTGTTCTTGGATCTATTGATAAGTCTGAAACAAAAATATTGTATAAAATGGGCAAGGGTATACTGCCCTGACGTATCCCTTCTTGGATTTCTTGAATTTTGGATATCTTTTGGTGGCTGAAACTTAAGAGGTTCTATTAGTTAGATATATGTCGCATATGTTAACTAAGTAATGATGTAATCTAGCCCTGTTCATCTTCTAGATTAGTGTTTTCTTCCAGACTGTGTCATATGCCTTCTCGATGTCTAGGATGTCCATTCCTGTCTTCTGTTTCTCTTTAAATCTGATCTTCGTGTCGCAATTACTTCTGCTAGTTGGAATTCTTAGTTTCTTCCTCTTCTAAATCCAAACTGGTCCTCCTGAATGATTCTTCTTCTTTTTGCATGTTTCATCAGCCTTCAACGAGTAGTTGTATTAGAAATAAACGTATTCTTTCCACAACTGGTTAAATCTGTCTTTGAAAGCATAAATTAAAGTTACAACATCACAACTGCCTTTGATGTCTGTATACCCTAGTACCAACATTATAGTGTGTCCACATTTCAAGTCATTTAAGTTGAAAAGTGAATTGTATTGCTTCAATTAATTTTTTACTCATATACCTAAGACAGGACAACGTTTATTGAGTTAGCTAGTACAAAATAAATAACAGATCTAGAATTTTTCGAGTATCCAGTGAAATAAATAAGGAAATTTATTTATAAATGCATCGTAAAAATTAAAATATTTAAAAAATAAAGCCAGATGTTTTGTTTATTCAGATTTAATGTTAATAAGCCTAACAAAGGTTAGTTGTAACAACAAATTGTATAAAAGAATTTCAGCTCTTACCATTTTTAATGAAAAGTTGAAAATGGCGGATATATTAAGCAAAAAAGGCTCTTCTTGAAATTCAAGATGGCGGCTAACGCAACGGTGGGATTACACTGATATTTACACCACACCCAAAGGTTAGAACAATGCAATTTGGGGCAGTTCGCCATGCAAGGTTAAATTTTATTCCGGCTGTACTATTTTTATAAATGAAATAGTAGACATACGTCAATGATATGTAGCTTTTGAAACTGACATAAAAATCATACATGACTAATCACACAAGTTCCACTAGTCGTAAAGGCATAGAAAAATAATATAAAGTAAGTCTCGTAGCTTAATTAAAAACGTTAAGCAATATAGGGCTCTATAATTTTGTTGACAGATATTTACCTTATTGCTCTATATCAGATATTTACTTTTTACAATTTAATGAATGTCTGCATAAAGAGTAATTTGAAATTGCATCTGCAATATCTCCAGCAATAGCTTTTGGTATGTTTGTTAAGTATATATAGAGAAAGAAATATACTTTTTTGATATTACTAACCAAAGGGCCATCGAGCGGAATTCTTTAAGCCTCAACTGAGTATATATTTTATCAAAACAGATAACATGAAGCTTTGATGTAAGAATACAAGTTAAGTAACTTTATTTAGCCAATTTAAGCAAACCATTTGATTTAGAAAAAACTTAGATACTTCACCTAACATAACGTAGTTGCTGATATACTGTAGATGCACGGTAATGAGGTCAAAATAAAGAAATTTTTTTTGTTATTTCAAAAGTAAGAAGAGAAACGACGTTCTACTTGAGCGATTGCTACTTCTGCTGGTTGATTTTCTGGCTTTCAGGACACCTGAAGAGCGTAAAGAACCGATATATGCAGAATAGAGTCTTAGCTATAAAAAACGCAACGATTTTTATAGTTAAAGTCAAATTATGGGAATCACGTCTAACCAGAAGAAACTACTTGACTAATCGTGATAAATATGTTTTTTATATTTATCACGCTTTATAATATATTTGAACTTACTTTTATTAATTGTTTTTTTTTCTATTTATTGCAAGCAAAACAGAACTCACAGAGTTTAATCAAGATCTGAAACAGTTTAGATGTTTCATTTTTATTCAACTCTTCCAGGATATCTTTTTTGTGGCAAGATTTGCAATTATTTTAATCTCCTTACCTATTTTTATTTAAACTTGGTAACGCATTATGAAGACGGTTCTTTAAAGGACTGTTGTGATGACTAGACATTTTTTAACGTACCTTAATTGGAGCATTTTTAAAGAAAATATTGAACCTAGTAACAATAGGGCATTTTGTTATTACATAATTTTTATCAAACTGCGGGTATATATTTTTTCTTCCAATTAGTTTTAGCCATACGGCTTATACTTCCTCCTCTCTAAGCTCCCTCTTATACTGGGCAAAATTTTAGTTGTATTTAACTAGCAGATTAATATTTTTAGGTATCACCAGACCTATTAGTGTTTATTTAAGTCTATTTAATAAGTTTAATAACTAGTCTAAGATTCGGTTTATCATGTGCCATTGGATGGTTTGTGAGCACAGCGCGGTTCTCGTAAAGTTTACAGCTGTCATTTTAAAAGCATTCTGACAGGGACATATTGGTAATAAGGGATATAGTCGGTTTGGAGAAGTTCCATTTTGCTAGCTAGTCCTTGGTGAAACATCTTTTCTACTAAGGCATGGCATATCTTTTCTTATGTTTATCACCAATAGTTTGAGGCTATATTGTCGACATATTCTTGGCAAATCTTAGATTAAATCCCTAGAAATATCATTATATCAGACGGACAGTTTATAATTAGACAAATGATATAAAGGAAGAGAAAAAAACAAACTATTAGGAAGATACGGAAGAGTTTTAATGTGTTTCCATCGTCAATAGGCAGTTGTTCAGTGAAATCTTTTTGATCGGGATAAAGCTTTAGCTCAATTATATTTAACGGACGTGTTGTCGACGATTTTTAAGGATCTTTCTTTTATTTCAGTATAGATTAGGGCGAGCTATTTCACCAGATAAAAACCAAGCTCAAGTCATGGTCGAAGACTGGCTGACCGACTAAGTGAAGATCACGCGAGGAGTAAGACAAGGTAGTGTGCTCTCGCCGACTCATTTAAACATATACTCTGAAGAAATTTTTACTAAAGCCCTCACAAACCTAGAGGTGGAAATCCTAGTGAACGGTTAATACATCAATTATATCCACTACGCCGATGACACTGTGTTACTAGCAACCAGCCTAAATTATCTACAAGCCTTACTAGACCAAGTGAGAACTGTGAGCGTAACATACGGACTAGACCTTAATATTCTTCTTAGAGTGCCGTCTCCCTACAAAGGTTGGCAATCATAATGGCTATTTTTATTTTAGAACTTGCTGCTCTAAACAAATCAATCGATCTGCATTAATACCAATCACGTAGATTCTTAACCATGAGTTCTGCCTTCGGCTAACAGATCTTCTTCCTTGAATCTTTTCCTATATTATGAGTTTCAAAATTTTATATTTTGGACCCCTCATAACTTGGCCTTCTAAGTATTCTAGTTTTCTGGTTTGTATAGTGGTGATTAGTTTTGTTTTTTTACCAATTGTCTCCAGTACTTCTTTATTTGTAATACCTTAATATTAAAAAAACTAAATTCATGGTTGTCAGCCGTGCAAATTTAGATCCTGGGGCACTAATGACAAATAGCAAAGAAATCCAGAGAGTCGACAGATTTACTTACAT